CTAGGCCTCACTATCAAGCTGAATTTTAATATATCGAAAGTGGCTTATTGGAACGAGATTCAAGTTGCTGCTAGAGTTTGAGCAATTCAACATGCACGCTTGTGCGGAAAACCTACCGTCTGATACGTTACTTGTACCAGAACTCTCCTAACTCGCAGACGTACGAGTGACGGATTAAGAGATAAAGACATAAAGATTAGAAACAAAGGGAACTGACTTTCATTGAATTGAACGATGAAAGAATCCAAACTTTAGCAGATGTTTTGTTCGTGGATGAAGAAATGAGGTGTATGTGACATAAATAATATAACTACACCTACTTGGCTCCAACCAGGATAAAAGACAGATACTTCAATTATTGAAGGAGACAAGTTACTATAACATGGGAAAATATCACGAAGATAATTCATTCCAGGGTCTCTTTTAAATCTGCAATGGGGTCAATTTCTGTGCACGACTAGTGAAAAAAGAGAGTTTTATCTGTTATTCCACTTTGAAAGTTAGCAACAGTTGTTGGCGACTAAGTTTCTCCAAACAAGGCGAAAGCTCGGTATATTTTAATTACGGTTCCCTGGCAGTTTTACGAACCTGTAATGAGCGGGGAATAGCCAAATGCCAGTTTAATGTCATCACCATATTGCCGAGTTCATCTGTTGGCAGTGCGATGGTTTGCAAAAGAAGGAAATAAGTTTGGCAGTTTAAAATTAATTTCATTGTTTCTCAGTTGTCATCAGCCGTTTTTCGCGCAAGTTTGCGTTTTTCTATGTACTGTTCACAAATGACCCATTCCAAGCCAACGAAAACTTCACGTCAAGAAAAAAAAGCCTAACAGACCTAAATAATATTCTCGTTAACTCTCTCGTTAAGAGTCAAAAATTTCTTTTCAAACTGGATAGCCGTTTTTCCTCTTTCGATAAAAGTTAGATGACCGAAATGTAAACATTACCAAATACACGAAGATTAATGTCAATGTTGGAAAAAAAGATTGTCGATACAAACTTGTCAATGTAAGTTCTTTTGGTAACAAATTACGAATATGTAGGATACAAAAAAATAAATCGTGTATCTTCTAAAAATAATTAAAGTACTCCAAATATGCTGTCGCCTTCGTCGCCATGCAGTTGACAGAGAGCACTTTTGGAAAAACCAGTCATCTTTAGACATAAAAATATATTCCACATGGCGACGCGACACTGATGCGGAAAGGACGATAATATTTTCAAGAAGAAAGTAGAGCGAAAAGCTGCTTGTTTGACAAGCAGGCTTGTGTTCTTTTTGCAGCGATGGTCCAGTACGGTCAATAAAGTGGTGGGCCATTTAGTAGGTTAGCCCGTCATTCAGTCAAAGTCAGATAGACAGCCTTTCAGACCGTATGTCAAACAGTCGGTCAGACCATCGATCTGTCAGTCAGTCAGTCAGTCAGTCAGACTGTCAGACAGTCAGACAGTCAGACAGTCAGACAATCATACCGTCAGACCATCCGACCGTCCGACAGTCCGAAACTCCAACAGTCTGACATTCAGTTAATCAGAACATTAGTCGGTCATTTCAGTGATTCAGTCAGTCTGCCAATCAGTCATTTCCGACCATACAAATGACTTTAAAGTTACCCAGCACTTTAATCCCAATCTATACAATAGACAATACATCATTGTATAAATATTCTTTGCTAGACCTATTAGGTTTTGACAATCTTGACAAAAGTATCAAGTAATCACCGAGTGCAATTACTCATCGTAAGAACCAGTCCAAAGATGACGGATACTTCAGTGATGAATACAATTTTGACATAAACACAGTGGAAATCTCAAAAACTATGAATTCCTGATGGACTAGTCTGCGTGATTTTCCTGCTGATATATAGAAACTGGCTAATACACAGAGATAACGGTTGATATATTAAAAGCATGCTAAAAGCACTATCCACTAGCTGGTTTGGTATATATATATATAGTAGGCGTAGTAATACATGACTGAAACAGATGCGTTCTTAACATCTCATCAAGATGCACGTGTCATCTTCGTTCGGTCATTGTAGTGTCTTCAGCCCCTGCAGTGTATAAAATAAGACCATGATTAGCGTCTTGAAGTGCTAGACAGTTCCTAGTGTTTCTTTGTTATATGGGCTCATATTTTTTCACTTGGACCTGTTAATCTCGTTTATTGATTGTTTTTTTGTTTCAATTTCTTTCGAGATTGTGGTGTTTTACTATGCATAAATTTACTAAAGGCCCTGGGATAAGAAAGAGAAAAAGGAAACAGGGTGACTTATTTGCAAGATTATTATGTTAAACCCTTTCCCCAATGTGTGCATCTATTCATCTGTGGTCAAAACATTGGAGACTGATTGCTAAGAGCGGCTATAGATTTTGTAGACTTTAAAGTCATAATTGTGGAAGCACTAACAAGCGCTGCAATGGTTACCGCACCGGCTTTCCAACACGTTTTTGTATCATGTTGGGTCATGATGTCCTCCGACTTCTCTCTGAATGGAGCTGTGCATTTCGTGTAACAAGGCGTTCAAATGTTCTCACTCTTACCTAAGTAAATATGTCTACGCCTCGCAGACAGTAAGACCATTGTTGTTGAGTTCCTGACTGTCCCCATTACACAGGAATCCATTTTTCTGTTTAGGATCATCGGGAAGGGCCTTGTTAATGTCTCCCACAGTGGCGGGGTCCTCGAGCCCAATATCCCTGCAGTGGACCTCAATTCCTAATCCCTGCCTTGGGTACCGCTGGCAGATCTCCCGATATTCTCCCAGCCTCTTGTCAAGGAGCTCGTACGGCATTTCGTTAATGTAGCCACATTTTCCTAGGCCTTTAGGAACAGGTGCGACCAGGTTGCCAGCTCTCTTCTCGATCACGCTCTTCTGGGCTTTGTACACTATCTCCGAGTTTTTCATGATTGGATGCCATAGAGATAGTTCCAGGACGCTTATTAGGTTCAAAATGCGATTCATCTCATGCTCTGTGATCCAGTTGTTGCAGAAAGAAAGGTAAGCACCAAACCCCATTCCGGTCGCTACGGCATGACCGTGGAGCATTCCCGCAGGCAGCTCGTAACCAGGACTCCAAGTGTGGCCGTACGCGTGTGGTCGGCACTGGTGTGCTTCCCATGTATTGCCATACTCGGATCTCATGTAACTGCAATGGAAACAAATAAATAAATTACTATGGGTAGTTATGTAACGAGGTCCTTGTTTTAACAAGGACCTTATTAAAATAACAAGGACAAGCTATAAGGATCTGCTCGTTTTAAAATCAAAACTATAATCGTCCAGTTCGCTTCAGACGAGAAGATTAAGATTAAGAAGATTTACAAAAAGAGGGCCTAATATTCCGAGCCTTATAGTTCCTTCGTAAACCCTCTCACTACTTTCTGTGTCTCTTTATTCAACTTTATTTCTTTGTTATATATTAGGGTTTCATCTTATTTTTCCTTTATGCCGGCCACGTTAAATAAACTGAAACTAAAACAAAAAGCTTCATGGGTAACAAATGAGTTCTATAAACTGGGTCAAGTTGTTCTTTAGCTAAAGGGCATTTGGTTTATAGAGTATTACATTTTCGTTGACTAACAAGCCAATCGCAATTACTTCACATACCTTTCAAGAGCTTTGCCGATGATGAGATCGCAGACACTTTGAAAAGCCTTCTTGTCCCCCTGGAAATCTTGCATCTCTAGGCCAAACTTGGTACACAAAACATTGCTAGCTTCTTTCTCCAGTAGGTAGAAGAGTTCCTCGTCCTTAACCACTGCTATCTTGACGATCTCAGCAATGCCATGCCGAACGCAGCCGCGATTTTGGGTGCGAAAAAAGCTTCTGTCAGTTATCGTCAGAATCGGGGGATGGTACGACCCGAACAGGTTTTTGAAACCGAATCCGTCACAACCAGTGCGAGGCGACAGTCCAGCATCGATGCCAGCCATGATGCTTGTGGACAGCATGATGTAAGGTGTGTCACGATGGTACAACGAGGTGGCACAGCCAATGACGTCGTGTATGACGCCTCCACCGACAACAAGAACAGGTTCATTTCTCGTCACCTTCAGCTTCATTAGTTCGACCAAGATCTGCTGCACTGTTTTTATGTCTTTGTCGACTTCACCCGAAGGGACGACCAACTTCTGCAGCTTGATGCAGTTCTCGTCGAAATAGGTCTGAATTGCTTCGCCGTAGAGTTCATCGACAACATTGTCCACAAGTGCTACACATCTGTGATGAAAAGAAAAGTTAATAAGGCTCTTGAAAGGTTTACGAGAGGGCCTTCAGTGAGAGGGTTCTAAAACCCTTTCCTCTTTCCTAACTACTGAGTAGAAGCATACTTTATTTTGGAGGCATAGGAGCCCTACATCGACAATGGAACCACGCCTTACGGTCATCCCGCTAATACGGTCACCTCGTTAATGCGATCACCTCTTTTTGTCCCGGCGGAAAAGCCATACATTTTCTTATTAAAAAAAAAACCGTTAATGCGGCAAACGGCCACATTCTGAAATCTCAACCTGTATAATCCTTTATAATTTCACCCAGTTTATACGGCACTCGAACCAATTATGTTCATCTTTTCATTGTTAATATTTTACCCAATGATTCAAGTTTTCATTTTTTTAGCTTCGTCTGCATTCCGGATGCTTGTTAAAGAACAGTTCTTTAGGGGTGCTATTGTGATAAATCTGTTGAAGACGTCACTCAATTTATACCAGTCATGAAGTTTGACCCTACCCCGTTAACATGGCCAAATTTTCATGGCCCGTTGGTGACCGTATTAACGGGGTTCTACTGCTGAATTTGCTACGTTCCCTTACCTTCCAAGAGACTGATACACGATTCTCAGCTCTGGGTTGGTTGGGTTCAACACATCGTTAACAATCTTGGCTGTCGTCGTCCGAGTATATCTCATAGTGCACTCTACCAGAGATGCGTCTGGTTTTGCCAGGACTTCTCCGTCACATCTGCGGTAAATGGATGTAGGGTAAACAGCGTGTGGATCCACCTTCAACAGATGTTCTGCATTCTCCAAGTAGCATTCTGGGCATCCTATATCTTGGAGTAAACGGCGCACTGGCATTTTGCCGGTTGCAGAGGCGGTGAACTTCTTGACGATTTGATTCCATTTGGAAATTGCCTCGGCATTGGTATCAGTTCTGCAAAAAGTAACAAGAAAAGTCAACTGTTCAATAGACCAATTCGTGAATTGACAGGCGCATTAACACAAGACTTGTGTTGAGTATATACATGTCGTTCAGAGACATTTTTTAAATTGTATACTTAGGTAATATGCAAAACAACAACAACATCGAAAAGCGCTTAACTTTTAACATAGAAGGTCGATCATCTAGTCATTACTGTATTGACCTTTTTAACTTTTTGACAGTTTATTTACAAAATATATCTTGAAACGTAACATCGGTTTGATTTCATAGCCACAATGGCTTTTTCTTTTGTGCAGGGATTTTAGTCCTGCTTTGGAAAGTTAACTATGCAGAACGCTATAAAATTAAGTGACGAATTCCAGAAATTTCGGGATCAACGGCGAACGTTTGCAACGTTACTCTACAGTCAAAGAAACGAGTGAATCTATCAATGGCAACATGTGGGCATTCTCATTTAGGGCATTAATAAAGGAAAATTTATATATTTGTTTACCTTGGTACCAAACTAGCAAGTTGCTGTATTACAGCGGACGTTGGTTGATTGTAAAAATACTTCAATTTCCTGATTAGCAGGAGCAACTCTAGATCACTGCTGAAAGAGCTTGCCAGCTCTTTGGAGAACACATCTAAGCGAGATAAGCGGATGAGAAAGTCGCTGATAATAGGATGAGCGAAGATTCTCCGGGCGAGTTCATCCACAGTTACTGTAGAGTCATCCGGAAACTCCCAGGGAAGTTGTCCAAGAGAGTTGACCGCCTCGTATACTGCATTCTGAAAACGGAGAAATGTGAAGAAGTTAATTTGCCACGGTTTTTTCTTAAATGTCTCGACGCACATATAGGAGGAAAGAAATCTTTGTTCTTATCTGAAGTAGATAAGTCAAGTTAACTTAAGACTGAGAAACGTGGGAATTTAGCTAGTTGAGGGCGGCCAAATTGTCAGCGTTTTACACTCAACTTAGTATTCATCACTCTATGACCGGCCTTTTCCCTTTTGAAGAAAAGTTCAGCTAGTCGAAAACTTGGCATTTAGACGAGCCAACGAAAGCGTATGCATGCTACAATGCTAAAAGGCATTTCCTTGATGATTTACGGTGTTTCAGGGCAGAAAAATTGAGAAAGCATGGCCACATGTTTCTTACACACTGACAGAACATGGACTTTGATCAAGCAAGGACTGAAAAATCGGGCGCGACCTGCACCTTTTGCAAGGTTCTTGATATTGCCCACACGAAACAATAGATAAAGAACTTGAACAAAGCCCCTACTATAAGAAGAACAAAAGTGCAGATCAACAAGAGGGGATCAAGATTGAGGGTTTATAGTTCTGCAGATCAACCGAAAGATGCGAGTACTCATATAGAGTGGTTTTCACTGAATTGAGTATCTTAAAACCGAAAAAAAAAATTATTCACCAGTTAAACTACTCAGCCAATCTCGAACCGTACATGGTAAAACCAAAACCGAAACCAAAGGAATTGTCTAATTGCTTTCGACACTCAATTGAAAACCGCTCTAATACCTTTAATTCGTTTCGCGCGTTGTATGCTTTTGTTTGACAATGTCTTTGCTGGACAACTTTTGTTTTCATGGTACTTTTCAGGTAGTGCGTATTGGAACACGCGGGATGATGGTTCTCTGGCTGCAATATATTAATTCAGTTGGGTTGTACGACTATTTATTAGTATCCTACCTTTTCATTTTCAGTTGCAGTCTCAGTACCATTCATCTCTATGTCTTTGTTGCCCATCTTTAGAGACATATTCCTCAACTTCACACAAATGTCTTGGTTGGCTCCAACAGTTAGCTTGATGATTACCAACCTGCGTTGAATATTATGATATATGCGATCGATTTTAAAAAAATTGATTTCAGCACAACAACCAAGTAATCCCTTTGCTGTTTCATAGACTGTTTGCTTACTTTGACTACATGGACTCGTTGTAGGTAAAATGCCAAACAATATTAGGCGGGAATGTTCTCTCTGAGGAAAAAGTGTATTGTGACATTGAAAATGGGGTCTTAGTCTTTGTTTTTACCTAAACATGACTTTGGCAGTAGGGGCCACTCTTATCTCCCCGGAAACTCTATCTTCTTATTGATTCGATAAAACCATTATTGAAAGAGACGGTAACTCGCTTAAATTGATTATTCCAGCGGTTTGGTGAATTCGCTTCTCGAGTGACAACGAGACTAGTTGCCTTTTTCATGATTGCAGCGCAGTCAATCAACCATTGCAATGATGGCGACATCGTTGATTGCTCAACCTTAATTCGCTTCATGTATAACCATTGTAATAGTAAATTAAAACACAATTTGAATTTAAGGTATGCTTAACGCCCATGGTTGTCAGATCAATCAACGAGATGCTATATGGCTTGTGCGTTCCGGGTAGCTGGATCCGGATCAGAATTTATGATCCAAGATCCCTCGGATCATGGCACATCACAGAAATAGATGAATCCTTGCCCAGGGTGGAATTATCAACTCCTTTGATGCACCCATGCATGCACCAATGTCTGAGTGACCCGAGTGAGTGAGGTCATTTCACTGGTTAAAGATAACGCAGCAATATCTATTGAGCAATACTTTCATTTGGTGATGTCAATTGGCCTTTCAAGTGCTGATTGTTAAGTGCAGAGAAAGACTTAGCATAAATTGACCTAACTTTTTTGATCACAAAATCCCGTATGCAAATGCTACCGCGTCGAGTCAACCACAACCCTTATTGCTACACAAACATGCCGTACCGCGTCTATGTACTACGTTACATTCGTTTTCAGTTTACACGTCTCGGAACTTCTTCTATCCACTGTAAAGTTTGTATCAGTTAACTCCTTGGATTAATCAATCGCTGTAATAGTGTACAAAGGCTTTTTGTTAAAAACTTCAATTGCATTTTCTGTGTTGTCTCTCTCATACTTGAAAATTTAATTTTCAACAAATTTTTCCAATTTTAGACCCTCTCAAAGTTTGAAGAAACTGAAAAACCCTCTGTCTGCCAGTTTGCTTTGCGCACCTATTAGGCTGGGGTTTTTGTTTGGCATCACTGGGAAACCGTACACGTTTCGAACTGTGTCAGAAGGCCTCAGAAATCATTTGTCCTGCAAGCCAGCCTGTAGTTAAAATATCCATTTAGGGATATATTTTCGAAAAATCTTGAACAGAAAAGATATTTTTTTAACTGAAGCTTAGCGATATTTCGACATAGAGATAATCCGCCGCATTGTTGTGTACATTTCTAAAATGTATTCTTTGAGACGAAACAAAGGCCAAACAGTTTTATGCCGTTAAGAACTCAGCCACGTTGCTGTGTACATTTCGAAAACGCATTTTGTAAGATGAAACAAAGGCAAAACAGATTCCTCTGTAGCTACCTACGATTAGATGAAACCGAATTTCAAAAGTACCCTCGGTTGCCGAGGAGATTGTTTCGATTTAATCATCGATTTTCGTTCTCATTGCTCATGCAGAATTAAGTAGTCTAAGTAGATACAAGTAGATGCTTCCAATATCGAGTCGAACTTCTCGAGGTAACGTCTGTCAGGTTCATGTTAGTAAGAAGTGCTATCTTTGCTGATAATTAAGAAAACTATTTATTTCAATAAGAGCAAAATAAAAACTCTCGGAAAGAATTGAATGGGCAGCCCTACGTGATCAATAATCGACACTGAAAAATCCACTGGAGTTCTACATGTAAACCGCATAATTGTACAAATCGAACACGAATCAGGGATGCTCTACTGGCATTATTGTCAATGCGCATTGTTGGTTTGAACAGAACGTTTAGCACCCCTAATTCAGACGATTCGTATGGGACCGAACTGTTTCATGTCTAAAAGTATAAATTGGCATGTTTTGACTGTTGCTTTCTGTTTGTCATTTGTTGTCTGATCGCATCTCTGCCTGATTTGAAGCGATTTCATCGAGTTGGAGCTTCTAATCTACTACTACATTTGAAAGTCAATTCCATCTTTTTTACTTGCTTTTAAAGCACTTATTAAACTAATAAAGCACTTTTTACGGACATAAACCTGACAGAAGTTACTTTGAGACGTTCATCTTGATATGGGAAGCATCTAATTCTGCACGAGTAACGACACCTCATTAAACGGAGGAATTTTTCCTTGAAATTCGGACTCATCTAATTGCAGATGAACACGAAGTGGCCTGGGTAGCTGGCGGTTCAGTCAGTGGGTAGAGCGCGCGAGCCAGCCACGAACCGAAGGAAAAGAGCGCGCGAGCCAGCCATCGCTGAACTTCAGCCAAAATTAAATCTCTTCTCTGCAAGATTTTCAGAAAATAAAGCCCTAATACAGAGATATCTTAGCTCCAAGAGATAATTCGTGTCGTTCTCTGCAACAGTGGCTGGATGAAAGATTATTTCGCAGGCCTTCTGATGCAGGGCGATGCTTGGAGGTTCCAGCTTATTAACATCATCACTTGAAAGAACTGCTCAAAAGATATTGTTGTGTAATCTGACCCGCGAATAACCTCAAAATGATTTCTAACTTAAGGGAGGTGAGCATTATATTTGGAAAGATCCGGCCGTGGTTAGGATTTTTGATCCAAGATCAGTGGGATCATGGTGCGTCAAAGGAGTCAGTATAAATCCACTCAGGGCAAGGATTCATGAGTTCCTCTGAGGTACCATGATCCGAGTGATCCCTGATGGACCCAATCCGGATCTTGTCATAGAAACGCACAAGCAGACTGCCTCGTGCCCAGTAGTCTGCGCCATAGGGAACGAACTAAACACTAAACCGCGAAAAGAAAACCGCGGGAAAAAACAAAACCGGTTAATAAAACCGCTCGCGCTCCAGGCTCGGCTCACTTCTATCGCCGATCGCGCTCCAGGTTCGGCTCTCTTTTAGTCGCCTGGAAAAGCTTGTGAAGGGAAGGAGGCCGGATCAGACAAAGGACGCTAGTCATACGTTAAATTCAAATTATGCTTTTATTAATACAATGGTAAAACAGCTAATTCAGGTTGAGCAGTCAACCGTCTCACGTAATGGTACATCGATTACGCTGCAAGGCAACTTGGCTTGATGCCACCGTTGGAGTGAATTCATCAAACAGCCGGAAAAATCAATTTGAGCGAGACACCTTCTCTTGTAGTGACTTTATCGAATTTGTAAGAAGAGAAGGAGTTACGTGCGAGATTTGAAAGGCCATTCTCTACAAAGTCATAGGTACAAACAATGATTAAGGCTCCATTTTCGATGTCACTATACGCCTGTTCCCCGAAGGGAGTATTCTCGCCTAACAACGCCTGGTCTAGCACTTTACCACGCGACGAAATCAGTCAACCGCCTCAACGAAAACTGGGAACCAGAAAATTTGCGCAAATAAAGTAAAAAAAAAAAAAAAAGTCGGAGACGCCGTGAAGGCTGTCAAGTGACAACTTGTTCGTGGCAATATGTAAATTATTCTATTGGCAATATGACTGCACAATTTTATATACTGACGGAAATCGGAAAGGGTTGCATAATCTACGTTCCAACACAAAGCTATCGATCGACAAAGATGTGAAAAATATTATTTCTTTGCCACATGATTTTCACGACAAGTAAGCGCCAAAACGACCAAAAAGCTTATTTAGGGAGGGCCTGGCAAAGAGCTAATCCAAATCGCCTTGAAAAGGGAAAGGAGTTGCATAACTTTGGTTCTAACTCAATGCTATCGCGCGAGAAAGGTGTGAAAACATTGTTCTTGTACAACTGTACAACAAATGTACGCCAAAACTCACAGAAATAGATGGTTATTTAGGGAGGGCCTCGCAAGAACCAACCCAAACCATGTAAGAAAGGGAAAGGGTTACATAAACTAGGTTCCAATATCGTACGGCGGACAGAAGATTGAAAAATTATATTCAGCTGAATGGTTACACGCTAATGGCCCATAGACCAAACGTTAGTCGTCGGTTTTATTATTATTATTATTTTTTATTTTAATGAAAACTACGCCGTCCTAGTTGGGTGTTGTCTAAAGCTTTCGACATGTTACTGCAGTGTTATGCAATGATACTGAATATTTTTTGCCGCTGATTGTCCTGATAAAAAAAGGGAAAATAATTCATAAAGTAAAGTTTGTAATTACCTTCTTCCAGGTGATTATCGTTCTTAAATAGCTGCTCTTCCGATCGGTGCCTACAGACGTGTACGTGTAGGACCTAGGCTTGTGCAGAGGTCTGAAGACTTGCGAAGGTCGTGTTTCACTGCAGCGAGCTGAGTGCAAATGAAGCGATATTTCTCGAAACGGCTATATGTAATTTAATTCTCATCGGATCATTGAAGCAACTGACGCATTTTAATGAACATTTGATTCTCATGCAAATCAAACTCATTTTCATAAGAAGAGCTTTACACCGGGGCAACAGAGGAACAGAGAGACCACTTGTCAAACTTGTTTAACCGGTTCCGGCCGGCTAACGTCCACGTGAAACTTCAGTCCTCTTCTCTGGCGGCCTGCTCCCGAAAAAAAAGGCTAACATTTATGCTGTCAGGTCTCGTCATTGCAGCCGTTTAGTTCAGCCATGTAGAATGTAAAACAAGATTCTGTCCATGCTATCCAGTTTTAGATCGCTGAATAAAGGATTGAAAGGTACAAACTTGTTTTTTCTAGTAAACTGGCTCAAAAACGTGAGTTTCTAACCGACAGCGTGCCATCGATTGCATAACGATAGTCATTTGCATTTTCAGAGATAAGTGCTCTGGCAAAACTCTTCACATGAAGAAGAGCTTGATTTGCATGAAAATATATATCTGAATGGTCTCACACCAAGACTCTTTTTTGATATTAGGACAACCCGAAATGGTCTTTTCACGGTCTAAGGCAAATACTCTTCTATTAAGTACTTGCTTCGTTTTAATTTAAATAAAGCCATTTATTACACAAGATGCGCGCTTCGGATCGCTTCTGACGGGTCTAGAACTCATTGAAGATCTTATATACTCACGCTAGCGGTAGATGGTCATGGATTCGGCAAAGGACGAGGCTTGAAACAAGTCGCATCAACAAGAAGTTTTAATTGGTAAATAACTCCTTGTCCAAGCGAAGAACGCCTGTAACGAACGTAACAACGGTCTACCCGGGAGTCTATCAGCCTAGCTAGCATGCTGATAAAGGAGTTACAGCTGAGTAACTTTAACTCTCTTGAATGAATTTGATAAGCCAGGGTCTGAAGAAGAAGATGAAGAAAGAGTGGAAATCAAAAGATAAATGGCGAGATGAGAGGTCCGAAAACGGGTCGTTCTTTTGCAAAACAATAAATCTATCATTTGACGGCTCTGCCGAGGAACACAATAGCGGGTTGTTAGTGAACGTGTCACGTCATAACGACTGGTTATACAAGAATATATCGTGCAATCCTGTAATTATTATCGGGAGTTATATCGGTTACTGCCCGCCTCGTGAATACCCCAGTTGAAGTCAGAAGGTTCGGTAACAGTTTTCAAACTGTATATCTTGATCATCGAAGATCAGATATTATATGTAAATTTATCAAAATAAACATTTACAGTTATTCACAGACAAAAACTGTAAATACTAATGAGCAGCGCACAGCCGGGGAAGGTACTCCCGTCAATTTAGAATAGGTGTGTGCTGCAAAGGGTCTTAAACGCTGACTCTATCAAGGAGAAAGCAAACTAAATTGATACCATATTTAAGGCTCAAACCCGAAAATGACACCCTGTTGAAGGGTAAAACATAAACTAAAAATGACGTGAACGGGTAAGCTTTATTTCGTTTCTGTAACATTGGAAATTAACCATCAAGCGAAAAATTTGTTTTTCGTTTAGCTGCGCATTTATGCACTGCAATTTTCGCTGATACAAGGAAGGACCGCACCGGGAGCACAATGCCAACAAGGGCCGAAATGATACCCTATTTATAAGGATCGAGAATCTTAAAAAACATACCACATACCTATGTCGCCCATATATTGGATGATATTTAGACAAAACAATTCAGGTTTATTCAAGAAAATAATAGATCTGTCGTTATACGCGTTGGAAGCAAGAAAAACTCTTGATTTTCTTACGTGCGAAAAAACAAAGAAACAAAATATCGGAGTAAAATCCAGCCTCCACATTTAACAATTTATTTCACAGACTGTTCAGACTGTTTCAACATTTACAGACATTTCAACTTTATAACGGCCTGTGGGGCATAGTCCGTTTCGTAATTACAAAATTCAGCATTTGAATATTACAGTCATAACCGCTGTAATTTATCAAAAATTCCATTCAAGTTTCAAATATTCACTATTTCCATTGTCAACTGAGTGATAACCTTAAAAAGATTATTCACTAGGTAGTAGAGGGTCCACAATAGGGTTCTCAGATCACGCTTTCCCGCCCATTTTTTCCTGTTAATCCCGCCATCCCGCCCTTCAGTTGCCTGGAAATGCCGATCCCGCCTACTTTTTACGTTTCTGCGTTAAATTATTAGTTTGCTGAATTAATAATTAATTTAATAATTAACACAGAAACTTTTTAAAAATAGATATCACATAAAAGATCACAAAAGGATTCAATGGGTAGAAGATAAGTAAGCACAAATGATTATAGCGTTTCTTTCTGTAAACTGTTTACTGTTTTGTTTTCTTTTGTCCGCGTATCAATGAAAGAAAAATATTTTTCTTTCCCATATTCAAGATATGGCCCGTTAACACACTTGTCAGTTTCTTTAAAAGCTGTCAGCGTATTCACTTTCCTTGAAATCTGGGCTTAGAGCTTTTCTTTCCGAATGAAGGCATTGCCGCTCGCACATCCATTTCGTAATATATGGCGACGCAATTTATAACGCCTCATACTTCGTTTGGTGAATCACTATCACCGCCATCCAATGTGGCCATCCTGGCCAAAACAGGACAAGCGCTCTAGAAAAGGTCGAAAGACTAGAAAAACTAGAAAGGATCGGGGGTTCGAGATTGCATACGCAAGCGTCGAAGATGTGGGAAATGGACAGAGGTTATTGATGTCGGAGGATCGCAGTAGGACTCAAAGACTTCATACAGCCTCATGATACTAACTTAGTCAAGCGATAATTGATACGTTTGACAGAACCTGACAGGTTACAGAGCCGTTGCTATACATTACTTGAAACCTGACACAGCTATACGCACAAAAGGTTCATTTCTGCCAGCTTGCGGTTTTTGCGCTGGTCAATATTATGAGGTCAAGTAAGAATTAAAATCCTGTATCCTGCGCTGTTCCACTTGCGAATCCCGCATCCCAACCCCATAAAAACACGAAATCCCGGTCCCGCTCGTAATTGTAATTCCCGCTTCCCGCCCCTGTTTAGCTCAAATCCCGAATATCATGGCGAAAATAAGCCAAATCCCGCATCCCGCCAAACCTATTGGGGACCTATTTGGGCTAATCGGAGGGAAAGGCTGCACTTCGTGTAGCCTGAATAGCGCTGCGGCCAGCCTGAATATCACTTAGGTTAGCCAAAATAACGCTCTGGTTAGCCTGTTTACGGTTGGTTACCTCTCGATAATGGAAATGCCAACTTAACACAGTTAAAAAATCTGCATTCTGCAGTCTACCCGCAGTGAACATGCGCATTTTACTACTGTTCTGCAGTCTGCGTTTCAGTACACGGACCGTATCCTAAATTGTTGAGTTGATTGAAATTTGACTCCGGGAGTAAAACGAAACCGCCACATGCGTTTATCTGATTGGAGGAGTGCTGTCGAATGAAAGCTGGTTTCCATTAGGGCATAAACAGGAGCAGCGTGCCGGAATAGAATGTCCGAAACAAATATATATCACGGTTTTTGGTGCTAATATTGCTACATTTATGATTCAGAGACAAAGAAGAACAGTACAAAACATTCAGTTCGAGCCTTGTAGTATTTTAAACAAGACAAGTTTAATTTAGCCGTCCTTTTGTGTCGGCGCAAATACAATTGATAGATCAGATAGATAAAACACAAAGCATCGCTAAAGGACCGTAAAGGCGAAGACAATAAATGCTCGTCGTGGGCTCCTATTGAATGAATGAATGAATGAATGAATAGTTCACTGTGCGATAATAGTGAAGATATCAATGGCGCCACCTGTATTATTACTCTGACCATGCTCTGACAACCTATGATCGTGGGTCGTTTTGATCAAGCGTGAAATTTCGGCTTGATTTTCATTTTTGAATTGGTTGTTTGACGGATACGCGATATGCGATTCTATTAACTGCTGAAACAAAGAATTCTTTTGTTCCATGGACCGGAACTTT